CAGACAGCCTGCTTTTCACAAACGGAAAATGTTTGCTATATGTGCTGTTTAAATAAAAGTTACAAAATTAATTAACTGATCAATGAAAAAAAAAATCAGGGCTAGCCTGGAGAGCAAAGCACTTCATTCTCCTAACCCAGCCAGAGCCAAGCACAGATTGACTGCTCTGTGCTGCACTGATCATCAGGCACCAGCTCTCCTGTTTAGGAGGGATGGTCCTATCCCCACCATTGATTTGGCTTTATTTCAGTACCTTCACTCCTTCAGGACACACAACCAATACTGAGATTCTGTGAAAGGCATTAATTCGTACAACAGGTCCGTATTTCTCTGCCCTGTAAGATGAAAACATTTAAAAAAAGAGAATTATGGTACAAACTACCAACATGTAACAGCTGAGACCTAATAACCTTGAAGGACCAGAGCACATTGCAGTGGGAACTACTGCAGTCCCCTGCCAACAAAGCCATTAAGAGAGAATCACAGGACAGAATAATCAAAGTTGGAAGAGTCCTTCAAGATCATCTGATCCAACCATCAACCTATCACCACCACAATCACCCCTAAACCATATCCTCAAATGCCACATCCAGGTGCCTCTTGAACATTTTCATGAAGTCACTCCATCACTATCCTTATTCAAATGGCCAACCATTCTTCCAGTAAAAAAGTTTTTTCTAATATCTAATCAGATCTGAAAGGTCAATGCTCTCTCTCTGTCTCCTTTCCCAACCTTCTCATTGATGTAATTCTGTAAGGGTCTTTGTGCCTTGATTTCTCCATATGTGCTACAGGACTACCCCATTCAATGTTATTGATGTGCCTCAACTTACCACTGCAGCAAGACATCTGGTGTGAACTCCTGTTTCCTCACCATTCTCCATATGATTGGCAGGTGTCCAAATAAAAAGCTGCAGAATATGAAGGTTAAGAGTGTCATGAGGATGCCAGCATAGGGTTTTGTATGGATTGCAAGCCTGGTTGCTCAGTGAGTGTTGCTCATGTGTTTCTTGAAAGGGAAGATGAAACTAACTCTGAGCTGTGCCAATGCCCAGCCCTCACCAAGCTGGTGAACTGGGCACCACAGACAGGCTGGGGCTCACATGCAGCCAGGGAGAGCAGCACAGAGATGAAGGATGAGATCTTTTTCTTATGCTTATTGTAGGAGATGTTTGGGTCTGGATGGGATCCCCCATGAACTGCTTTGCTCTTTGCCTGAGTGAATCTTGACTGCAGCTGTTACATTGCTGTACATGAAAGAGATATTTGCATTAAATGCTCCTTAATACATGCTTATCCCTGGTAAGGGTAACTTCCTTTCTGTCAATGGATTTCTGTTAAGAGAAATTAGGAATCATCTCCTTCTGTCCCAAACTGCATAATTTCAAATACTGAGGAGGATAATTACTGGTTAATATTGAAATTGAAGAAATTAATAAAAACTGTTAACTCTTCAAATATAGCTGCATTAAAAAGTTAGAGATCAATTCCTTCTTTCAACTGTGAATGGTGAATTCCCACTGGCTTTGCATAAATCTGAGGGAAGATTTGGCCAAGCTCCTCTCTAAATGAAGCAAGCTGCACTCAAGATCTGTTTTCCATTTGAGAGACAGAGAGCCATGTTATCATCCTTTTCAGTATAAATAAGCTATGGGGAAAAACAGGCTCTTATTTTATTACTGTTGGAACTGGGAGGCACTTAAAATAACAAGAACTCTACAAAGTTTCTCAACATCTACAGAAACTTTTAATCCTCCACTTGTGTTTGACTCTTCCTTTGTAATTGTATCCCAAAAAGATGTGAAAACCTGAAACACAACACAACTCCTTTATTAGCTCTGGAAACTGCTCTAGCTGCAGCACAGGAAACAGGGTCCAAACAAGGTCCCACTGATGGCTCCTCTGGTGTGCCATCACATCATGGTGTTCCTTCACAAATGAACCCAAGGACAAGCAGGTTCAGGTATGACAAGATCATCCTCTCTCTACTCTTGGTGTCTGACCCTGATTACACAAGAGGCTGAAGCCTGGAGGTGAGCAGGAGAGTGCTGGTGTCCCTGTAAGGCTGTGTATGAGTGCTGGTGTCTCTTCCTGTGGCCTGTTACGGAGGGCATGTGCACCCACAGGTGAGGTTAAGTGGGGAGCTCACACACTCCTGCAGGAGCTATGACTCCTTGTGACAGCTCTGCCACTGCCTTGCTGGCAGCTTTCTCATCACCGTTTATCACTTATGACGTCTTTATTTATTTTTGGCAGAAGCTAAACACCCGGCTTATGAAGGAGGGCACGGAAGGCGCCTGCTGGAGT